AATAACGACTTCAATAGGTCAAGATAACTTCTTACAGTGACTTTTTTTTTTTTTTTTGCTAGTATTAAGAGAAAGCTAGCAGGAGTCAGGATGTAGGGAAAGTAAATCTTGTCAGTTGATAGATTCAAGCAAATGTGTAAAACAGCATCTTTTAGGAGTAAAAAAGTCAGTAAGTAAACAAGAGAGACACAAATATATGATTAAAAAACATAGTTCTCTGTGTCCATTAATCTACTACTAAAAAAATGTTTTGGAACAGCTAAGTTGGTAAATGAATGGCTTTCAACTGCCTGAAAGTAAGAAAAGTTGGTTGAGTACTTTTTCATTTTTCTTTGTGACAGGGTCTTGCCATGCCCTGAAATGCACAATGTTCCTGCTTAGTCATCCGAGTTCTAGAATTACATGAATTAATTACAAGCATGGCCTGTTCTAATAATGTATTATTATTTTTACCTGCAATATGGGTAGGCTTACAGTGTCTGGCACATACAAGGACTCAGAAGATAACTGCTAAGGAGATAATTAAACTTGGGGCTGGAGAGAAAGCTCAGTGGTTAAGGGTGCTCACTGCGCTTGCAGAGAAGGCAAGTTTAGTTAACAGCACCTACATAAAAGCTCACTTGGATCTGTAAGTCTAGTTCTGGTATCTGGAGCTCTTGTTTGGCTTCCACGGGTATCAGGCATGCACACAACACTCATACACACAAGATAAAAATAAACTCATACACATAAGAAAAGAATAAATTCAAAAACAAATAAACTAAAGGTCTTCACATCTTAAATAGAACAATAAGAGAGAAAAAGCAAAAGTGAATATAAATAACAAGAGCTCAAAGTATCCTTGTTTGCAGATGATAAATTCTATACCTCAGAACTGTATTAGTAACTTTCTGGGTTATTGTGATAAAACACTGTGACACACATTCCAAAAAAAAATTAAGGGGAAAAGAGTTTATTTTGGCTTATGATTCCAGAGGGCTGAGAGTCCATTATGACAGCACACAGCAGGAGCAGGAAGGTGAGAGATTACATCTTTTACCACAAGCACAGAGAAACAGCTAGTCAAAGCCTGCCCCCAGTGACACTCTTCCTCCAGCCAAGGCTACACCTCCCATACTTCTCCAGATAGTGCCACCAACTAGGGAACAAGTGTTCAAATGCCTGAGCTTATTATGGGGAACATTCTCATTTTAATCACCACAAAGATCCTAATGACTAAGAAGACTTTTAGATACAATAAACACTTTCAGCAGAGTGGCAGGCTACAAAACTAACATACAAAAATCAGAAGCCTTCCTATATGTCAATGACAAATACTGAAAACTAAATCAGGGAAACAATCCTATTCACAACTGCCTTAAAAACTAAAAACAAAGACCCTTGGAATAAACCTAAGGGAACAAAAGACTACACTGAAAACTAACACACTGAAGAAAAAAAAATTAGAGGCACCAGAAGGTAGAAAGACTTCCCACAGTCACTGATTGGAAGAAGTACTACTGTGAAAATGGCTATTCTACCTAAACCAACTTACAGATTCAATGAAATGCTCATAAAAATCCCAATGCCATTCCTACTGAAACAGATAAAACACCCTTGAGATTCACATGGAAGCACAAAAGATGCCAGACAGCCAAGCATCCCTAAAGATGCTCAGTTACTAATGTGTCTGATGTGCAACTTTGAGGACCTGACTTTGGATATCTAGAACTGACATAAAAGTTAGAGACAGTGTACATATCCGTAATCTCAGCTCTGGATGACAGGTAGATTCCTGGAACTCACTGGCCAGCCGGAATCCTAGTCAAATTGATGAGCTCCTGGCTTATTCTGAAAAATTAGATGGAAAAGATGGAGGAAGACAACACTGACCTCTGGCCTCCACATGTGTAAACACGAACCTGAACACTCATGTGAATACATCCACACAAGTATGTACACACAATATTCCTGTACACACACATGAATGGTATTAAACACATAACTCACTTGATTTCAAATTATACTTTAAAGTTATATAATATTAACTAATAAAATCAGCATAAAACTGGCAAAAAAAACCCCACCCCAGATATACAGATCAATGGAATAAAATAGAGTATCAGATATAAACCTGTACAACTACCACCATTTGCTTTTTAACATAAATGGCAAGCAAAATGCAGCCTCTTTAACTTATGGTACTAGGAACACTGGATATCCACATACAGAAGAATGAACCTAAATCCCCATCAAACACCCTGTATAAAAATCTACTCCAAATGGGAGACCTTAATGTAAGACTGAAAGTCTAGAACTATTAAGAGAACAAAGTAGGGAAAACTTCAAGATACAGGCATAGGTAAGGACTTTTTAGTAGCTCAGGAAATAATGCCAAAAACTGACAAGTGAGAGCTTATGAAATGTGAAAACTTCTGTATGGCAAAAGAAACAATTGTGTGAAGATACTGCCTTGGAATGGGAAAAAGACCTTGTTATCTATGCATCCAACAGATGATTAACACCTAGAACACACAAAGAAAACAAAAAGTAAAAAGAAAAAAAAAGTAACAAGAATCAACCTCATTGTCTTAGTGTTTCATTGCTGTGAAGAGACACTATGACCATGGCAACTCTTATAAAAGAAAGCATTTGAGGGGCATCTAGGTTGCTTCCAGGTTCTGGCTATTAAAAATAATGCTGCTATGGACATAGTTGAACAGATGTACTTGTTGTATGAATGTGTGTCTTTTGGATATAGGCCCAAGAGTGGAATTGCTGGATTTTGAGCCATACTGATTTCCAAAGTGGCTGTATGAGTTTGCACTCCTGCCAGTAATGGAGGAGTGTGCCCCTTTCTCCACATCCTCTGCAGCATAAACTGTCTTTGATGTTTTTGATCTTGTGTTAGTTGGGAGGACTGGGCAGTCTATGGGGCCTCTAAGTAATGGATCACTATTTATCCTTAGTATATAAATGGACATTGGGAGCCCATTCCACATAGAGGGTTACTTTCTCAGCCTAGACACATGGGGGAGGATCTAGGCCCTGACAGACTTTGAAGACTCCCCTGGGAAGGCCTCACCCTCCCTGGGGAGCAGAAAGGGGATGTGCTGGGGTTAGGTGGGGGGGTGATAAGGAGGATGGGAGAGTGAGGGAACTAGGATTGACACGTGAAACAACCTTGTTTCAAACTTAAATAAAAAAGGAAAAAACAAAAAAGAAAACATTTAATTGGGGTTTGCTTATGTTTTCAGAGGTTTAGTCCATTATCTTCATGGTGGTGAGCATGGTGGCATGCAGGCAGACATGGTGTTGGAGAAGTAACTGAGAGTCTGCGGTAGCAGATGGGAGAGACGTTGGGTCTGGCTTGGATCCTAGAAACCTCAAAGGCTACCCCCAGTGACATACACTTCTTCTAACAAGGTCATACCTCCTAACCCTTCAAAAATAGTGCCATTCCCTCTTAACCAGTATTCAAATCCATGAGCCTTGTGTGGGGACCATTCTCATTTGAACCACTACACCAACAGATGAGTCATCTAATGAGATGAACAGACACTTCTGAAAAGGTGAAGCAAAAATGACCAATAAGCATATGAAAAAAAAAAAAAAAGTTCATGCTCAGTAGCCTAGGAATACCAATTAAAACTACACTGAGATTCTATCTCCCCCTAGTCAGAATGGCAGTCACTAAGAAAAGGAGCAACCACAAATGCTGTCAAGAAAGAGAACCTTCACACACTGCTGTTGACAATGTGAACTAGTCTGGCCACGATGGAAATCCCTACAAGGGTTCCTCAAAAACACTAAAACCCAATCTACCACATGACCTAAATACATCTTTCCTAAGTTACCTGAAAGACTGACTTCAAGTCAACATCAGAGAACTATCTACACACAGTGTTTATTGTAACTAGTTATTGTAACTAGTTATGTGATAATACCACCTAAGTGTTCATCATCACACATACAGTATATATGCACAATGGAAGGATTTTTTTTTTCAGACAAATTTTAAGTAACCCAGGCTAGTTTTAAATTTGCTACATAGCTGAAGATCACCTAGAACTTCTAATCTTACTACTTTCATCTCCTGAGTGCTGGAATTTCGAACTTTCACCACCACACCCTGTTTATGAGATGATGGGAACTGAACCTAAGGCTTTGGCAAACATTCTACCAAATGAGCTAATTTCCCAGCCTACACAATGGAATTTTTTTTAAGCCATAAAGAATAAAGATGCCATTTACTGGAAAATGGATGCAAAGAGAGCTATTATGTCATATCTACCTTAAAAAGACAAATATCACATTTTCTCTCATTATAGGCTTCTAGATTTTATTCAAATGCATACAATCATGTATGTCTATATGACATGAAAGCAGAAGCAAAACTGTGTAGGGGAACAAAGGGGACAATTCAGGGAGCAGAGAAAGGAAAGGATAGGGGAATATGTTGGGGAAATGCACTCAAAACTAAAATAAAGATCAATAGAGACAAAAAAGCATTTCAGGAAGTATATCATTTCTTATGAAAAAATAATCTACTCTTTTACAAATTTGGAAATTTTGTTTTTTATATGCATACTTTCCTATTTTGTTTAACTCTTTGTTTTTTTTTATTAGCACACAACAAAATGAATGGATTTGACTGTGACATTCTATAAATATATATTATTATACTTTGTTCTTATTTACAACCCTTCTCTTCACTCCCCAAGCCCTGCTGGTCCCCTCCCTGGCTCCAAATATTCTTCCTTCTGATTTCATTGACATATATACTCCACAAAAAGCAAATAGAATGCTAAATTAAAAATTCATTCCTTCTAGTTATAGTAGAATAATATAGTGGGGGCTGGAAATGTAAGAGATCAGAGCAATGTGAATGTTTTTCAAGGATTACTACTGACAACTTCAGGTGCTAGCCATGGTCTTCAGTCCACAAAACCATTATTACAGTTAAAGTAAATCCTTAAAGAAAAATATCAAGCAGCAGTAGTAGGGGGAATACAGCTTACCTCCACTTGGAAAAGCTCTCCAGCCCCCTCACAGTCATTGGATGTGATTACTGGGGTATGAATGTGCACAAAGCCATTGTCCTAGAAGAAAAAGGAAAACTCTTAACTACATTTGTATGTGAAGCAATTCCAAGATATGCTATGTTTCACTATTTAAATGACATCAAAATAATGTCATTATGTGTCTCTTGACTACTCTCCAAATATAAGACTGTTCAAAGATCAGTTAAGTGGCTTTTTGTTTGTGGATATTTGGGAGGGGTTTGCTGTGTACTATAGGCTGGCTCTGAATTCTTTATCCTCTTGTGTCAGCCTCTTGAGCTGAAATTACAGGCATATATTATTACCTCTGGTCAGCTGAATGTTTTTATTATGCATAGAAGTATACAAAAATGTTAAATATGGAACAGACTCAGATATATCTTGTCTAACTACTTCATTTCAAAAATAAGCAAATCCTATCCCAGAGAGATTTCACTAGTGTCCAAGTTAGACAACTGGTCGGTAGCTAAGCCAGGGATGGAACACAAGTCCCTCCTCTATCTCTCTTATGCTATTTCTTCTGCCCACATTCCTAATATGCTGATGATGGTCTAAGGAACACACAGTAACACACTTTCATGATGTAGCCCACGCTGCTAATGGAATGCAAAGTGAACAATAGGAAGTTCAGTTATCTTGAAATGAAACCTCAGCATTAACGAACCATCAAAAACTAGAGAATAATGGCTAATAAATAGGGACTACAGAAGTAACTAGGATGAGGGAAAAGTCTCTGTCATTCAATCGACCGCATGATGCACTGCACATGACACAGGCAGTGAGTGTACTCCCTTTGCCGGACGAACACTCTGAGCAGCAGCAAGCCCATCCATCACTGAGGCATCCAACTGCACTCCTTCCGATCAAGAGTCTGAGACTGTTTCCATTAGTGAACCACAAAAGCTGTTGCTAGCAGGATTGAAATAACCCATCAACTTCAAGGTTATGCTGCTTTCATTCTGACTATACATGTAGGCAAAGGTTACATTCAGAATACATGTGGCAGGATGGGAGCGCAGGTAGTGAAAAGTGAATTTACAGCACACAGCCAGAATGCTATACACTTAATGCAGAATTTCAGCCTTGAAATCAATACAATAAATTCATACATTTGCATCCCTGCCAGGTCTGCCTACCACGAGTAGCATATAAAAACATCTTCAGGCATAATCAGAGGGAGACCTTCCAAGTATGACCCTCTCTGAATTAAAGAGTTCTGACCACAAAAGAAATTATTTAATCAACAACCTTCCTAGGTACAGACTGGTTAAACATTCAAGCTGTAAATTAAGACTCCCAGAAATTATTCAAATATTCACTTAACCTGAAAGCAGCGTGCTTAGAGGTGCTGCACACAGCACATTATAAAGAGCCAATGAAATTCAATCAGTAAGATTACTGCATAAAACTTTTATTTCTTATGAGCCAAGAATTATGGGCATGAATCATTTATTCCACGTGAATGTAGGCAACTAAGCCTGAGCACAGTAAACAAAGAAAGGAAGTGAAAAAATCCAAAGGAAATGAGGGTGGAGAGAAGAAATGTAACGGCTAACTATCATTGCCAACATTAGAGCAGTTGACATGCCGTGTGAAACAGTGCTGCAGATGTGAGGTAAATAACAGGAGACTTAACAAACAAAATCAAATGAAACATAGGGATTATCTTTAATGACTAATATGCAACTCTTCCAAGACACCATCAGCTTCTTAAGTTTTAACGATGCTAGCAGAGCTTCTCAAAGCCTGCATTACCAAAAGCCATAAAGGAGAACACTCAAAGGAGAACGAATGGTAAAGGCAGCATAGAAAAATCTGGAAAAAAAACATGATGGGAGAAGACGATGAAGATCAGTTGGAGAGTGAAAGCCAAGGAGAGGTGGGTTACGCCAGTGTCTGCCTCACAGAGCTACGGCTGAAGCTAACCCATGACAAAAGGAACCCTAATAAGAGACGTGACAACCAGAGATGGGCCTGAAACAGAAGCAAACATTCCACTCATTTTAAAACTCTTACCTACCACCTGCAAATATTGACACACATTTCACAACTAGGTATTTTACAAGGTTCTTAGTATCCAAAACTTAACATTCACATGCTAAGCCCTGGGTTAGAAGACTAACAGGACTATACTCTTATCATACAAAGATAAAGCAGTTATCATTATTTAATCATTATCAACCAAGACAGAAATGAGAGAGGAATTCTAATCACCAACACAGCACTGGCAACTAAACAGTGACCTGAAGAGGAAACAAGAAAGCCTGTAACACTGCATTTTACATGGCTAAAATGCTGCAGACAGGGGCCAAAGATCACCATGCTCCAAGGCAGGCTTCGGAGGCACCATCAGCAGAGGATACCCCTGAGATTCACAGGAAGAACCTTCATTCACAAGGACAGCCTTTTCTACTGCCATACTCAAGGAAGACAAGGAAACACACATTCCATTTTAGATAAACCCAGAGAAAAATACTCAGTTATGTGAGGAACTTCGCTCTTTTAGAAGATTTATCCTTTAGGATTCTAGTAGCCGAGTTTTAGAATACAGCAAGAGTAATTAATCTATGAGTCAATCAAGTTACAAGTTTATGCGACTATGTGTTTTTAATTTTCATTTTTAGAGTCTCATACAGCTCAGGCTTGTCTCAAACTTACCAGTGTAGTCAAAGATGACTTGAACTCTTGATTTTCCTGCCTCTAGCTCATGAGTGCTGGGATTACAGGCGTACAGCCCACCACACCCTGTGTTATGTGGCACTGGGAACCAAGGCCAGATCTTTGTGAAAACTAGGTGAGTCCTCTACCAATAGAACTATAGCTCCATCTCCTACATAAGATAATTTCTGATACTCAACTCCCAAAATAGCTCTGTACTGTTATAATATGCCATCTTAAAATACTGCTCAAATCCCCAGTCTTTACTACATTAATAAATGTTTGTTTGATAGGTCTGGAATTTATGAAAAATTTAACATCTTTTAAGGAACCAAAGAAACAATGTCAAATGCTAGGTAATACATAATCATTATTTATAAGTACAACAATAGACTTTTTGTTGATTCTTGAAATACAGTCTTACTATGTAGCCCTGACTGAGGTAGTGATTACTGACTATATCTCTGGCAGTCCTCTTGCCTCTGTATCCTGAGTACTAGATATATAGCTACGAACCACCACACTCATGTTCTAGTAACTTCTTGAAAAATACATTCCTAATTGTCATGTACCAGACACCACAGAATAAAACACCAGCATTATATTTTAAAAATATGATTAAAAATTTACAAGTGGGGGGTGCAGAGATGGCCTAGAGTAAAGAGCACATTTGCTCTTTCAGAGGACCCAGGTTCAAGTCATAGCATTCCCATGGTGGCTCACAATCATCTATTAACTCTAGTTCCCAGGGACCTGGAGCTCTCTCTTGCATAACACAGGCCCCAGAATGCATGTGTGGCACAGACATACCTCCATGAAAAACACCCATACACACAAAACATTTTTTTCTAAACCACTAAAAAGTAGTTTACACTAAAAAGTGTCTTGACTTTACAACCACTATATTAACACTAAAATTATTTAACTACATAAATGTTTATACTTTTTATTTCATTTTAATTATCTTCTTATTTCAGATTTTATACTTTGCTCTGTATTTTAAATTGTTTTCATATTTGTAAAAGCTCTCAATAAAAAAATATATAAAAGGAGGAAAAATTTACTTGTCAATGGATTGCCAATACCACCATCTAGTGGCCAAAAAAAAATGTATAAAATGTATAAAACTGCATCAGAAGTAAAGCAGGTCCACTTTCTCAGTTGTTGAGTCATGAGGAGAATAAAGCAAAGCAAAGCAACTCAAAACAAAACAAAATCCTTTATTTTTAGCCCCAAAGAGATTCTGTTATTTGTGTGGGTCAAGCACTACTAAAAATTCATATGGAAGGTATATAAAAAAATTGTGAGATCATGTATAAATAGACCCTTTCAAACTACAATGGGATACAATTGGATACTATAATTTATTTTCTTTAGTTTAATCAAAACTATGTACCTTAAAGCTATGATTATCATTGTTAATCTTTCAGAAATGGCCTCTAGAAGATAAAGCTCTCCAAAAAGCAAAGTCTCCTGGTGAAGAACAGACTGAACCTGCATGCATTCAGATGCCCCCCAGGGAAAGATGACAGTGTCGCACTGCCTCTGTAAACTAGCAGAGTCTGAAGAAGTGACAGGAAAGTAGCATGGGCTTTATCTGCCAGATCACCATTGACCTTTGGTGACCTCCCACTGATATGACCAAAATAAGGAACAGAGATTGGATTTACCTTCTTATCTGAACAAGCACAAAACAAACACGTTAAAAACAGGAAGCAAACGACATGAAGCAATGATTTTCAAGATACTAGACATCAAACAACAAAGGTATTGAGTGATCTGTGGGTTACGAGAAACACACATGGTGACCAGTAAAGGCTCCCCTCTTACTACAGTGAGATCCTTCTGGACACAGCACAGGAAGGAGGAGGTAGAGTTGAGGAGAAACTGTCAAAGTCTGAAGAAACCAAAGTGGCTACAGTCATAGGCTAGAATCAGACAAGTGAAAACAGGTGGCTAGGGTGTAATAGGTCAGGAACTGATAAGTACATGAATGGAAGAAACTATCCAGGGTTGAGAAAAGAATAACCCAAATAGCTGAGAAAGGGTCTGGTATTTGCATGTTGGCTGGATGTCCCACAGACAGACTGAGAAATCTTATAATTCACAAGGCACTAAGAATATTCAAGAAGGCTTTGCTTAGACCATTAGGAAAAACCAGTACTATACTGAGAACTGTTCTAGACATTATATACAAAAACTGTTTTGGAATAATCTTTGTGTATGATGTGAAGATTTGTCAGTCTGGTTGGTTTAATAAAAAGCTGGTTGGCCAATAAATAGCTAGGCAGGATTTTCAGGGCAGAGAGAATGCTGGGAAGGAGGTAGAGTCACCAGCCAGGTGCAGAGGAAGCAAGAGACTCAGGATGAGAGGTAAAAGCATGGGCTATGTGGCACCACAAAGATGAATAGAAATGGGTCAATTTACATTATAAGAGCTAGTTAGAAACAAAGCCTAAGCTATCAGCCACGCTTTCATAATTAAAAATAAGTCTTTGTGTTGTGATTTGGGAGCTGGCTGGAGGGAAAGGCAAAGTAGGAGACCACAAGTACCGAACAGTTTTCAAGTAACTTAATGGTATACCAGAACAGAGCTTGAGAATCTTTAGAAATACACTGCACTTACAAGGTAAAATTCACATCTAGCATGATCTGAAAATCGGGAGGTATACAAAGAGGCAGGGAAACATAACCTAAAACATAACAAATTAACTAAAACTAACCCATTAAGTGACACACATAGTAGGCATTAGACATACATAAAGTACATAGTTTTAAAACGAGGCCTGTATTCCATATTTGAAAAGTAGACACAAAAGACAAAAAGAAAAACAAACAAATACGTCCCAAGGGGGTGAAGTGGTACAAGCCTGTAATTTCAGCTATTTAGGAGGCTGAGAGAGGAGTATCACAAGTTCAAGGCCAACCTGGGTAACTTAGTGAGACTCTGTTTCAAAACAAACAAGGGTTAAAAATGGATCTTTTGACTATGAGTGCACTTTCCAAGCATACTCGTGACTCTGGGTTCAATGAGATATGTGTTATCTAACATGGTCATAATCTGAGAGACAACAAAAAAAAATATTTAAGAAACAGTGGCTAAAAAAAACCTTCAAGAAAAAAAAAAAAAACCTTCAGGAGCTCGGTAAAGTGACACATGACTATTTAGTAAGGCAACTAAAATCAGGAAGGTCTCAGCAGCACAGCAAACAAAATCAAAAAGGCCCAAGTTGATAAAAATGTCAAACTCATGTATCTAAGAAACTTAACCAACCCTAAAAGAGAAATGAAGAGAACTAAGCCAAAACACATCAGAACTGAACTTATAAAAACCAGAGATAAAGAGAAGCCAAAGGAAAAATGATATTACTCAGAGGAACCAAGAAAAAGACATCAGTTCTCACTGGAAACAATGAGAAGACATGGTGGCAACTTTAAAGAATCTGGACTCACATCTATAACCCATGTACTTGGGAAGCTGGGGCAAGAAGAGCTTGAGTTTGAGGCTATCTGGGCTACATGTGACTTCAAAGAAGCCTTGCCTATTTAACAAGACCTCTCAGCTCGGTGGTCAAGAGCACTGCCTGCCTTTCCAGAGGACTAGGGTTAGATTCCCAGCACCCACATGTGGCTGATAGCTGTCTGTAACTCCAGTTCCAGGGTAACCTGACACCTTCTTCTGGCTTTCACAGATACCAAGCATGCAATAGTACACTTACATACATGCATGCAAAACACCCACACACAAAGAAAAATAAAAGTCTATCAACTTGTAATTCTATATCCATAGAAAGTATCTTCAACAACGAAGGTGAAATACGAGCTATTACAGACATACAAACCTTCAGGATCACAGATGCATTTACCACCTTCGTTATGGTGATGCCTTCAGGGGTACAGTCATGTCAGAACTCATCAGACCATACACTTTCAATATGCACAGTAGTTTATGCAAGCTACTCCTCAATGCTATTAAGACATATACAAGAAAAAGAGAAAAGGGAGAAAAGACAGATATGTGTGCCTGTGACATCTAATTTTTTATAAAATAAAGGGTGTTCAGAACAAATAAAAGCTTTTGGGAAAATGTTCCAGGCTCACAATGATTCAAACTCTGCATTAAAAGGAGCACATGGAAGCAGAGCATCTTACCTTAAAGTAGGAATGAATAGCAGCCGTGGCTTCACTGCGAACCCGCAATATTGAACCCAGAGTATTTGTCCTACACCTCAGGTGAGGGTACTGTCTCAGGTACTCCAGAGGATGCCTCTCCTTATATTTTATAGGGAATGCCTGCCAAAAATATGGGAAAATTTATTAGAAAAACAAAATGAGCTACCAAACAAACAAAAAAACATTTTACAACTGGTTTTCAGAGTATTTCTTAAAACAGTAGTGCTTTGGGACAAAATTAAGATGCCTTCTTTATTATTTTTTAAAAAAATTAATGACATATATTTTTGTGTGCATGCATGTACACATTAGCACACACAGGTTCACAGATCAGAGAACAACTTGGAGTTGGTTCTCTCATTCCACCATGCAGGTCCCAAGAATCAAACTTCAGGTAGTCAAGCTTGGAGATTAGCACCTTTATCCACTAAGGCATCTCCCCAGCTCTTCTTTATTTCTTAGTAGACTGGATTGTAACTCAATTACTTCTACCCAGTACAGAGAATGGTTAGGAGTTAGGAAAATACTTGGTTAAAGCCAGCTTCACTACTTCGTAGCTGACTTGATATCACTGAGGCTCATCTGTTATTTACCAAGTTTCTATCCATTAGCAGTCAGTTTCTTACAACAAGAAGCCAAATACCTAGAAGGTAAACTTCAGATGTGACAGGTACCACAGAGATGCACAGACTAATTAATTCTTGGCTCTCAGAAGATGAAGCAGTCTTTATAATGCTACATCACACCAGGCTCAGTGGTCTGTTTCAGTGATCAGGTAAGTCATAAATGAAACTGCTCTAAGTGCCATTCTCTCAACAGACTTAAATAGACCACTAATGTTTTAGATTGACCTTAAAATTATCAGTAAACATACCTTGGCGTCACAGTTTCCAATAACCTCAATTTTTTCTGCCTTCAGTTCCACATTTTGCCTTTTGGACAGACTTTTGACCAGCTGCCCTTGAACTTGCACAGAGCTCCCAAAAGCCAGTTCGCTATAGTAACAAAAGACCAGGATCAGAAAGATACTATATATATAGCCTTCATTTCAATTAATGTCTTGCTGAAGTATAAAATGTCAAAAGTATTCATCCTTATATAAGTTAAATAATCTGCAGATGCTCTTTTGTACCAGGACTCTAAAAGTAAATTCTGTGAGTGTTAAAATGGGAACAAGGGGAGTTAACAATTTGCTCAAGTATTTAGAACTAAGAAATTATATAACTATTACCACTGTTTATATCTTCTTCTTTTCTTTTGTTTTTGTTTGTTTGTTTGTTCATTTGTTTTTGTTGTTGTTGTTTTTGTTTTTCAAGACAGGGTTTCTTGGAACCTATCCAGGAACCTGCTCTGTAGCTCAGGCTGGCCTCGAACTCACAGAGATTCACCTGCTTCTGCCTCCTGAGTGCTAGGATTAAAGGCATGTGCAACCACCACCTGGCTTATATAACTATTATTATTTTTGGAGGGTGTGGGGAGAGGTAGACCTAGAACTCACTACATAGACTAGCCTGGCATGGAACTCACAGAGATCCACCTGCCTCTGCTTCCAAAGTGCTGGAATTAAAGGCATGTGCCATTAGACCTATCATTTCTTCTTACCAAATATACTGGCCCAGTTACTTTAAGATGGCAGGCCTTAGCTTACGGGGAGCCTGTCCCAGCAGAATAGCCCATCCAGAGTCTGCTAGCAACCTGGTCCCACCTCCAAACATGGTAGGAGATAAGCTTGGTCCTGTTTCCAGCCTGCCTTCCGGGGGCCCTGCTCAGAGCCTCCCAAGATACACACAGGGAAGCCCATCCCCGCAAATCAGCCTATCCAGAGTCTGCCAGTGTCCTGGTCCCACCTACACCTATGGGAGGAGTCCTGCCACAGCCCACTGGAAGAGAACAGCCATTGGAGTATTGGACCTGCTTGCACCCACAGGAAGAGAAACTTGGTCTTGTACCCACCAGGAGAGGGGCAGACCCTACCGATATGCACTGGAATAAGGGATAGGTAGACGATAGTGTAAGAACAGAGTCAACAACAGAAAGATCAATATGACACCACCAGAGTCTAGGGACTCCACACCAGCAAGACCAGCAACATCCAAACACAGGTGAAACAGAAGAGAACGACACTAGAAACAACTTTATGATGATGATAGAGACCCTCAAAGAGGTAGTGAGAAAATCCCTTAAGGAAATGGAAGAGAAAACAAACAAAAAAATTCAAGAAATGGAGGAAAAGACAAGCCAAAACTTGCAAGAAACAATTCAAACAGTGCAAGGCTTGAAAACTGAAATACAGGCAAAAAATGAAACAAAAACCAAAAACAAACAAACAAACAAACAAAAAAAACCAAAAAAAAAACACAGTCTGAGGGAATGCTGGAAATAGAAAAGCTAAGCAAATGATCAGGAACTACAGCTGCAAGCATAACTAACAGAATACAAGAGAAGGAAGAGAGAATCTCAGGCGTTGAAGATACACTAAGAGAAATAAGATTCATCGACCAAAGAAAAGATTCTTAAGTCCAACAGATCCCTGATACAAAATATCCAGGAAATATGGGACACCGTAAAAAAGGCCAAACCTAAGAAAAACAGGTATAGAAGAAGGTGAGGAAACCCAACCCAAAGGTGCATAAAATATATTCAACAAAATCATAGAAGAAAACTTTCTCAACCTAAAGAAAGACATGTCAATGAAGTACAAGAAGCTTACAGAACACCAAGTAAAGTGGTCCACAAAAAAGTCCCCTTGTCATATAATAATCAAAACATCAGACATGCAGAATAAAGAAAGAATATTAAGAGCAGCAAAGGAAAAAGGCCAAGTAGCATATAAAAACAAACCTAACAGAATTACACCTGACTTCTCCATGGAAAACTCTGAAGGTTAGAAGGTCCTGGATAGATATTCTACCAACACTATGAGATCATGGATGCTAGCCCAGACTACTATACCCAGCAAAACCCTCAGTCACTACAGAGAAAACAAGATATTCTCTGACAAAACCAGATTTATACAATATATATCTGTAAATCCAGCTCTACAGAAAGTTCTGGAAGTTATATACTCTCTCAGCCTAGACACATGGGGGAGGACCCAGGCCCTGGTCCACATGATATGACAGACTTTGAAGACTCCCCATGGAAGGGCGTATTCTCCCTGGGGAGCAAAAAGGGAATGGGATGGGGTTGGGGGGGGGTAGGGGGGAGTGGGAGGGTGCAGGAACTGGGATTGACATGTAAAACAAGCTTGTTTCAAATTTACATTAAAAAAAAAAAAAAAAAAAAAAAAGAGGCAGGCCATGTGTAAAGCCTAGGGCTAGGGCCTGTAGCCTGCCTGATGGCACTGCACCAATGCCATTGCCATCCTGCTTTGACAATACCCAGTAGTATCACAAGATGCTAACACTGGGAAATGGAGAGATGTAAGAATTCTTGGTACTACATTTCATATGTATGCTTTTTGTTTGTATGTTTGTTTTTGTGGTTGGTTGTTTCTTTTTAAGAGGAGGTCCCATACCCAGCCTAAGCTGGAACTCACTCTGTAGCCCAGGCTGGCCTCAAACTCAAAACTTTCCTCCTCAGCTACCCAAGGACTTGGGATCACACATATGTGCCAATACACCTGGCTTGAATTGTACTTATTTTTTTTAATTAGTTGGCTGATCAATTAAATGTTAAGTTGGCTGAAGGTCTGAGTATATAGACAGTACCTTCTGGTTAATGAATTTATGTTCTAGTTCAAGTTTATCCATAAATTAATTGTATGACTGCCACAGAAATGCATCCATTTGTTTTAAGAATCACTTATTAAGAAGGAAGCAAGGCTAAATGATTGCATATCCTTGCTAATTCTAATATTTTATAACCATGATATATAGAAAGAGAGAGAAACTGAGCTGGACAGTGGTGGTGCACATCTTTAATTCCAGCACTCAGGAGGCAGAGGCAGGTGGCTCTCTTGAGTTTGAGGCTAGCCTGGTCTACAGAGTGAGTTCCGAGCCACCAGGGCTACACAGAGAAACCCTGTCTCAAAAAAGGGGGGAGGGACTGGAGATATGACCGAGTGGGTAAAATCACACAAGGCTGATAACCTGAGTTATCATGTGACCCAGAACCCCATAAAAGCCACACACAATATCAAAAGTGCCAACAATCTCAGCATACCCCTAAGGGGAGATGGGATGTTGAGAAGAACCCAGAAGCTCTTGAACCAGCCTTCCTGGAGCAGGAGCAAAAACACGGTCTCCAACAAGGCAGAAAGACACACAAGGACTGACAGCTGAAGGCCGTCTCTCACCTCAGCGTGCATATCTGTGTTCATGAGCAGAAACACTTTAAAAATTCCTTTAAAATCCATTAGCAAACATCTTCCTTAAAAATGTATATTTAAAAGTTTTATTATAATAGGGTAATATATTAAATAAATGTGTCAGGAGATTTCCCCACCCAGTTTTATTTGCTTGCTACATTTAATACATGGTATTTCCTTTGAAAATTTTAGTCATATGTAAATGTATATGCATAAAATTGTTCACTACCATATCCAGTGGGGAAAAAAGAATACTTTGACTGGTGACTACAGTACATTTGACATGGTCTTGAATTTTCCTCCAAGGGCCCTTGCAAATATTTCAAAGAGGTAGGTAGTTGTCTCCAGAACTCAGGTGAAACAAACCAATACAACTGCTATCCTCTCAGATATCAACAGAGGAACACAGACTGTCTTAAAAGGCTTTTCACGTAGAACAGTGTGCTTGTTTAAGAGTGGCCTCTGCAGGCTCATATATCTGAATGCTTAGTCCTCAGTTGGTGGAACTGTTTGAGGACTTGGAGGTATAGCACTGTTGGAAGGGCTGGGTCACTGGGATGGGTTTTGCTCTCCCCGCCCGCCCCCTCTTCATGCTCTCAGTTTCTGCTCTAGCACCTGCCTGCTACTATGCTTCCCGCCATGATGGTCATGGACTCAAACACGAAACTGTCAGCCTGCAGTAAACTTTTTCTTCATAACTTGCTTTGGTCAAGGTGATTTAACACAGCAAAAGAAATGTAAATAAGACAAACAGATTTTGTTGTTCTGCCCAGTTGAGACCCATCAGTCCTTGTAATATATAGACAGTATTATTCTTAACAGTCCTTAGGATAGCAAAAAGCTTTTAGTCTGCTCCAGAGAGGTTATACTTAAACACAAAATGGTATCTGATGAATGAGACTATAAAAATCCCTCCCATTTATTCAATAATAACTGGTTATTTTCCAGCACTGTGACAGAAGCTAGGGGCAGAAAATTGAATACATCATTCCTAACCTCAAAGAACTAAGAGTCAAAGGAATCTAATAAGAATACAATTAATTTCCAAACAATGGTATCCACTCTATGACAGATGCTGCACAGGGTACTATGGGCGCAGAGAAGCACCTTCCATAGTTGCGGGACACAGACCTCAGATGATGTTTAAACTGGAACTACAAATAAGACAGTATCTCATCAGGCTGAGGAACCAACATGTGGAAGGTCTAGAAGACAACAGGTTAGGGAGGTGCAAGTATTTTAAAATGACTAGAGCAAAACATGGGCAGAAGACTTGGGCATGTGAAGGCGCTAGAGCTTGAAGGTTCTTGATTCCAAGTTTATTTGGATTTTTCTCCAAAGCTACTTTTCACAGATTTGCTTAGAAAGATCATTTAGGTGGCAAAGAAAACAATCAATTAGGAAAGTGAAAAACACTAGAAAAGGAAAAAAGAAAAATGAAGAACTCTTTAAAGAAAAAAACCCCAAACCTCACCTATTGTCAAAGCTTGAATCAGCAACAATCTGAAGGTTTTCCAAAGAGGAGCCGTCATTTACATGCAGGAACAGAACTTCCTTCTGGGATCTGACTGAACGGATCCATCCCTGAAAAGGAGCATTTTTAAATGTGAGCTTAAAAACCAAACACTGTTACATTTTCATTACACATTCAAAAAAGCTCAGCTGAAAGAAAAAATGCTCACAATCTTGCCTCAACATGTCAAATGTATAAAATGAACTGCTTTGGGCTTACCTGGATGTGTACACAGTTTAACGTGACTTTTATCACGTGAGATGTATATTTAGTGGTCCACCTTGGCTAATAAAGCTCATCATTTTAAATAGGTGCCAAACATTTCATTAAGTTGATGAGCATAATTAGCACAAACAATGTCCTTAATATTGGCTTGTCAGAGGTATTCCACTCTACTCAATTTTTTTAAAAAAAGTTTTCAAGTTGGTGCCTTTCTTCTTATGTCCAATTCTCAGAGAAGGTATTGGATCTCCTAGAACTGGAGTTACACAGGTATGAGCCTGCTGTAGATACTTGAAGAGCAATAAGTACTCTTAAACACTGAGCCATCTCTCAGCCCCAGAAACCCATTCCTTTGTATGTTAGCCAATAAATTAAAATTTTGGAAAAATTATTATTAAAAACAGCCTCTTGAGCATTTTCCAAATGTGATATTTTGATATAGCAAAGACTGGATATTATTTGCTCTGCAGCAGAAACAAAAAGTAACATCTAACAAGTAAAAACACATCATAAAAAGAAAGGCGTCATTGTGAACACAAAGCAACACATAAATTTCAAAGACAATCTTAACTTAAATGACAGGTACATGCAAGTACAAGTGAGAAGTCTTTAAGTAGACTACTAATGCTAGTAACAGCTACACACCCAACCTGAATACAACCAGCATAGGAGTTAACAAAGAACATTTGCAAAGACAAAGATACATTTGACCTATGATCCACATTCCCTGAAGCTGGACTCAGAAGAGGTTGTAAGCCTCTGGATTTAGGTTCTGCCAATGAACTCAGCTGCTCTGGAAAAAAACCTCTAGTTCTCTACAAGTGTGGCAGGTGCGCATAACTGCTGAGACATCTCTCCAACATGCATAAAACAATGAAGATGTATTATGTTAAAAAAAGTTTTCTCTCATACACTGTCTCATTTCCTTCTGTTAAAAGTCTTAATGATTATCATAACTCTTACAAACAAGTAAATGGTGGTTCCAGGATGTTAAACAACTTATGAAAAGTCACATGCTGATGAACTAGTATCCAAATCTGAACCCAAGTCTATGTTCCTAGAAAGTGCTTGCTTGATCTGTGGCCTAAGCCATACAGCATGAAGTGTAAGCCACTGTAGCTTCATGTACAAGGCAATTCATTTTACCACATCTTCCAAAGACATTCTCAACAGTAATTTCCAAAGTGCCACTCTCTTATTTTTACTTACTGGGAAGGTAATAGCAAGCACTTTTAGTGTGTTTCTGTCCTAAACTCTTTGTAAGTATTATGCTATTTAATCTTTACAAGGGCTAAATAAAGTGATGATTATCACTTGTGAAATGAACAGACACTTAGGGAAAAAAATTTAAAAGATGATCCAGGTCATAATTACCAGGTAGTATACTTGGAATTCAAATAGTTATTATTCTGAAGTTCACATTATCAGTAAGCTTTCCTGGAATGCTATTTCTCCACATCTTCTGCCTGGGAACTCATCCTGCTGCTATTTCCACTCCATCAGTTACTGTACCTAGAGATACCATCCTCCAGGACAGTTGATATGCTGGTGCCATCTTCTTGACCTCCACACAGTTCAAGAACTCCCTTTCTGTCTTCTTACAGCTCTTTATTTACAACATTAATAATCATGGCATTGCTGTAAACTAGGGCTAACAAAAATATAATGTGAGTTACACAATTAAAAAAAAATAATTAGAGTCAGAAAGATGGCTCCAAGATAAGAACACTTCCTGCTCTTGCTGAAGACCCAAGTTAGGTTCCTAGTACCATCTGAAGAAACTCACAGCTGTGTCTAGCTCCAGGGGATTCTGACACTTCTGTGTACTTCTATGTACATGGCATAAACTCATGTAGACACATACACATAAATACAAAATAAGTCTTTAAAAAGATTTGTTCCTATTTTAAAAGGAAAATAGGTAATTAATAACATGTTATTCAACCAATTATGCTCCAAATATCACTCACATGTAATCATAAAAGTATATTCAGGTTATTTTCTAAAATCTTCAAAGTTATTATGCGTTTTATAGTTACAACACATCTCCATGCATGAGAAGCCTATCAGGTGCTCAGAGCCACAAGTGCCTGGCAGTTGCCATATTACACTGCTAAGCACTGAAGTGAAAGAAAAGCCTGCTGGGCAGCAGGTTCAGCTCATCTCTGAATCTTCTTTTGACCATCACACAAAAGGCATCATTAATGCATGTCAAATTAATCGATGAATACAGTAAATGATTTTTGATAACTCTGATTTGGATCATGGAACAAGTATGAAACAGAAATAAATGCAAGGAGAGATGCCTGGTCATACTGCTAAACATCAAGAATATAGGGAACCAATCGGTGTGTTTCAGCAATTCAAGAAGAAACAGCCAACCATCAGTCTCACTCTTTGTCCTTTAAGGACCTATTCGAAGCCGCTGCAAATGCTATTAGGAGAAATAATAGTGGCTAATAATGGCCAAGAGGCCTCTGTTCTAAATAGCTTGTGCCTACTATCACGTTTAATTTTCAGAACTCTCCGAAATAGAGACTACTATTACCTCCATGTTCGTAAGAGGAAACCAAGGCCTGGGACACTGTAGTGGCAGGTCCATAATTAACAAGACACTTAGGGCAAGCGAATTAAGCCAAAGCAACTGCAGCCCTAAGTTTGCCAAACTACAATATTCCACTCTTTCTCCTGGTTTATTAATTACATGGAAGCCTCAAGATTAAGAGTCAAGATAGCTAAAAGCTGAAAAGGCATGGGTTCCCATGTGTCCAACTTGTGTCTGTGGACTGTATGAAGCTGTGACTCAGGATAGCTGTGAGTGTAGTCCAAGACAAAACAGTAAACTTTGAGACCTTTTTAATTGGGGGTGGAGTGGGGTGGTTTTTTGGTTTGCTTTTGTAATTCGGTGGCTCGGGTATAAACTTGGTAGGTGACAATATCCTGTTGACACACTTGGAACTAGTATTTCCTGTTAGCCAGGTGAACAGGAAAATGGGAAGATCGGATTTCTGCTCTCAAAGAACTAGGGCAAGACATCCCACGCTATTAAGAGATAAAGGTGGAAAAGGGGGGCGTGTTCGCTTAAACTTTTCTGCATGATTGACACGTTTACAGGTAACACCTCGGTGTCACGAAAAACTGCTGCCGCACTCCTAATCGACAGAACGATTTGCAAAAAGTATCATTACGGTCCCAGAGAAGCATGGACACTCGCGATGTCTTCATTTCCAACTTTGCTCTGCCCACCCTTGGTCGACAGGACCGCTCAGAGTAAAGCTAGTCGTGGCCGGCCCAAGCAAGCTCCAGCAGCCTTCCCACACACCCACCTGCACCGTTACACACTCCCCATTCGCGTCCTGGACCCCGAGGGCGTCCCGCACGCGCAATTTGGCAGAAGCGCGGGGCCTGGGGCAGGAAACGGAGGAGCAGAGGCGCAGAGCGCCTAGCAGGCGCCGGGCACCGAGCATAGCGTGCCCGGCCGGGGCTCCGCAGGGGTGCCGGGGTCCTGACTCGCAGTCCGCCGGGGCAGCCTCTTCACCCGTGCAGTCCTTCCGTCGGGCGCTTGCGTCGCTCTTTCTTCCGAGCTCCGGGCCGTTCCTTCAGGACCTCTCCTCAGCGACCTGCTCCGGAAAGCCGGGGGGTCCACCGCTCAAAGTCACAGGATAGATGTCTGCATGCAATTCAGGTACTACCTGAGAGCACACCCAGAGCCACTGGCCTACGTCACCCCGTGCGCACTCTTGCGTCATCACGCTAGGTGGGGTCTGAGGATGAGCATGCGTGATTGTGTTCCGGAGTTTGCACTCCCGTCAAGGGGCAGGGTGGGGGTGGTGCCAGGAGCCGAGATGGGCGGGGCTAAGGCACAAGGCTTTTAGAGTGTCTCAGAAATAGGAAGCTCCCTTAAAGTCATCTAATCATTCCGTTATAAAATGCCAGGGAGACTGAGGAACACTGAGGGATGGGATTGACGGCTGCAGTAGGCAAGTGTCTGTCCAGATTCTTAGGTGTGAAGAGAAGTTCTGAGCAGTGGGAAGTCAGACTCAAGATCTAGTACCTGCTGAAGTCAAGGTTGTGTGGTATCATACCAAAACACACCATTGCTTAAAAAGAAGAGATTGAAGCATTGCTTACCGACGCTCTTCAAGTTTTTCTTTTTTTTTTACTTGCATTTATTTGACCTGAAAACGGTGACCTTTTCAAATATTCAGCTTCATTTTAAGTTTACACAAAACATTTTTTATATTTCAGCAAAATGCATGATAATGCTTTTATCTAGTTAAACAATAAGAGGTCAAGGTAAGGATGAATTAAAGTTGCCACTGCTTTTGTGCCCACTTTACAGATTACAGGAACAGGGTGACCAGCTGGATACAAGTGTCAGATTTAAACCCAGAAGCTCTGGCTTTATGCACTAAGCTATCAGGCTGTGTGATGTCTCACTGTGGAAAGGGAACCATAGCCCTGTCAATCAAGGAGCATGATACAGAGGCTGATGACTGGGGTGGGGGAGAAGAGAGAGAAAGACAGAGACAGCGAGAGACAGAGACACAAAGACAGACAGAGAGATCATTACAGTATAAACCAGCAAGCACACACATAGATATGTATGTGACAAGTGGAGTGGCAGCCTGGAAAAAGAGATAATTGGGCTGAGTTTTGAGGAAAGTTAGAATTTTGCCAGATGAGAGTATCAGAAACTGCTGGGAGGGCAAATGGCCTGAAAGAACTGTAAAATTCTTCTCTAGATAGACTTGAAAATGTTTCCAGTAAAATACTTTTGGGCACTCCTAGAACCTTGAGAAATGAAAACAAACAAACTTGTAGTCTTCCAAATTATGTGGATATAACTTTTATCTTAAAGTACAAATGTATATTAGATACCCCCCCTTCAAAATAAAAAAGCAAAACCAGCAACCAGCTGTTGTGGGATATTTGTACACTCTGTGAAGATATATTTCTGTGATTGGTGTAATAAAAAGCTAAACAACCAATACTTAGGTAGGAGGTACAGGCAGGACTTCCAGGAAGAAAGAGGAGATAATCAAGGTGCAGAGGAAAAGCCTGTGAGACATGTAGAGAGTCAGACATGCAGAATGAAAAAAAGCTAAAAAGACACATGGAAAAGCATAGATTAATAAAAGCCAGTTGACTTAAGTTCTAAGACCCATGGAACAAGCCTAAGCTAAGGCTGAGCTTTCATAATTAATAAGAAGTCTCTGCTGTGTCATTATTTGGGAGTTGGCTGGCAGGATAGAGAAAGACTCATCACAACCAACAAGTTCATTTTCTCATCAGGTCAGTTTCTGCCTCACTCTTCTTTACTATGCTGGATTTTGAGAACTGTAGTCCGAGTCTCGGGGAGACTGTCTTCTTCTATTTAGACCAGAGCAATTAGAAATGTACGTAATTAGAAAAGTCTAAGCAGAGGACCATTGTTCAGTATCCCAATGAAAAAGAAACCCAGAGGGTGAAATGGAAAATTAGTAACGGTTAATCAACTATACAGGGAAGGTTGATCCTCACCCGCATGCCTCCTACTGAGATCCAATCACTCCCTGTATCTTTTACTGTATCAAATCATATCATTTTAAAACCTGATTTGTCTTCAATGTTTGAATTCACACTTCTGTCTATAGATTCATCACTTTCCAGATAGTAGCAAGAATGACATCTCTAATGTGAATATTGTACCATGTCAGCCATAACTATTGGTAGTGTGTGATAGAATGACTATTATATGCCAAGAACACTTTTTGTATTAGCTCCATCATCACAATAGTCCTTGCCCTCCCCAAGGTTAGAAGGAACTAAAGCTTAGAGAGCTTTTGTAATACACACCATGTTACTTAACAGTCTTGTTCCAGTCCATGCTCTTACTCATTTTGTTACTCTAGTGATTAAACACCCATGAATTGTCCCCCCTACAACATATGAACACTTGTCGTCTATAGGATGTCTAATAGACCTTCTCTGATCCACAAGGTTCACTGAAGTGAGAGACAGAAATGAAACGAAGGTGTTGTTAACCTCTGATAATTTGAATCTGCGCAGTGAATGGTGTCAGCATTATTCCTGAGCTCTGGGAACTTATTTTCTTTTAAGTAAAAACATATTTTATGCATATGGGTGCATGCATGTTTGTGTACCACATGTGTGCCTAGTGTCCACAGAGGCCAGAATAGGGTATTGTATCTCCTCAAACTGGAGTTACAGACAGTTGTAAGCTGCCATGTGGTTACTTGGAATCAAACCTCTTCCTCTGGAAGAGGACCACCGAGCCAACTCTCCAGCCCCTCTGGGAAGGTTTTAATACAGTTCTACATTAACACATTTTAGCTAACTTGAGCCAGAAACATCTTACAATCCTTTCTTTTACTCTAAGCTGGCATTCACTTGTGTTTGCAACATATTCTTTTTCTTAAGGAGAATACTCTAAATTCAGAAGGCTCTGGTCGCATGAAACTAGATATGACTTCGACTTAAAAAATACTTCAGTAAATATACTGGACACATTTAAATGATTGTCTATGTATTATAGCCTAAAACACATTCATGTTGAACTTCACAAGGTCCTTGCAAATTGTTTTCTGAGTTTACATGCTCTCTAGCATGCTATGGAAGTTCCCAGAGTTACCTTCAGTGACAATTGCTATAAATAGACTTCCTAATTTTTACCATAAGGGGAAGGAATGTGTTAGTGTTTCAGAAGTTTATGCTTTGGTTGACTTCTTTCTGTTCATCAGAATTCTATTTTATTGTAACTCCATTTTCTTTTTTCAGTGCGTGAACAAAACCATGAGCCTGGCAATCAGAAGTCCTTGCTTAAGTCTTACCTATATGACCTATGATGGAACATTCAAGAAGTCACTTGTACTCTCAAGTTGAAGGGTTGGAGATGAAAGAGGGAGGGTATTAGTGTGTGTGTGGGGGGGGTAGTCTCACTGATTCACTAAGCTAGATTTGGGTGGACTCTGCTTTGTTCATGGCACCCTATCTGGCATTACTATCACCACAGGAAACATAAGATACTTATGGCCAGTTTGAATTCATTATTATAACCTCAGAGTCACCAATAATGTGTCACTGCTGATTAAGGGAAGGACATTATTGAGGGACTGCTCGTAGTGTAATATAACTGACATTTGAATTCCCCGCTTCCTCTCACTGTGTCTTCTGTTGTTCCTGTCTATCTGTTGTATGGGTCAGAATCCAGGCTTGCTTGAAGACTGTCAAATGACTTTAATTGTGTGTGCCCATAACAAAGGGCTTTGCTCTGTATTTACTGACAAGCACAGGAAGTATCACATGGAGAAGGAATGAGGGAAGATTTACAAAATGTTTCAATTCAGTTTTATAAGGGATTAAATCACTGACCCTAACTGACCCCACTGACCCAGACAAGACAACAAACAATATTACAAACATCATTGTTTATCCAGCGATATGTTTATGCTGTGTTTAGTGTTTACAGTGGTTGCTCATTTTATAATTTCATCCTATTTGCTGTTTTCAGAAAATGGTTATTATGACATTACTCATGGGTCAGGGCCATGGAAGAGCACATAACTGAAAAATTACAGATCTGCATTAACTTGGGTTGTAAAGCTGATCTCATGGGACAGGTAGGGCAAGTAAGGTTGGTTGTTACATTGTTCTTTTATAGGCATGTTAAATAAACAGGCTGAGTACTCAGTAGAGTAGCAGTTTTAAGTGACCTCAAGGTTTATTATTAGCTATGACTGTGAGGTTCAGCAAAAGCTTAGAATGTAAGTGATATATTTATCTTTTTGTCTGAGTAGCTCTGTCCTGGAACTCACTCTATCGAATAGGCTGGCCTCAAACTCAAAGATCTTCCTTCCTCTGCTTCCCAAGTGCTGAGAGTGAAGGCATATACCACCATACCTGGTGGGATACATTTGTCTTAATGCATTGTCACACATAATATTGCAGATAAGGAAACCCTGAATGCTCAAGATTTTTTTTAAAGCACTCTTTAAATTTAGGAGTGGTTGGGCATAACTGGAATAGACAGATTGCTGCTAATTCTGATTTTGTTCAGTTAATTCTAGATAATTATTAATTAGCTGACCCATTGGCAGACACTTGTATTTCCTGAAATGGAGTTAAAAGTGAATCATAATGTCTACTGCAAATAGGTCAGTGTGTGAGGCATACCATTTTTATGTCTTATTATTTGGGGGTAAATTGTAAAATAATTGTCTGGGTTTTCACTGTTGAGGTTGAAAGGAGGTTAAAATGCTTTTGTTATTCCATGAATAAGAGAAAAAATGCATAAAACATAAATTTATAGTTAAGGAATATTTATAGAAATGAAACTTGTGTCAACATTATATGGGTCAAGGTAAAGAGCATTGCTAAGCAGCATTCCAGCCACTTTACCTTTCCAGTCACAGCTTTCTACCCACAGGGGCTGCTAACTATGTAACCTTTTTTGGTAGTGATTTTCTTTAGAGTTTAACAATCTAAGTAGGTAGCATAAACATTAT